TCCATTGCTCATTCTTAGTTTGTTTTCTTGCTATTGCAAAGTAAAACAGTTACATGGATACACTAGGGAAGAAAGGAAGTTTTTGTAGCAGCTTAAGCTGAAATGCAATGGTGTGTGTGTGTGTGTGTGTGTGTGTGAGGAGTTTGGTGTAGCAGTTATAGTTCTCTCTTCAGCATGTGCCAGACATCGCAGGAGATAGAGCTCTCATAATACAACAAAAAAAAAAATTAGCCGGCAAGGTAAGGGGCTCTCGTAGCTCCAGGTACTTGGAAGGTTGAGGCAGAAGGATCTCCTGAGCCCAGCAGTGGCCGTGAGTGTGCCACTATACTCCATCATAGTTGACAGAGTGAGATTCCAACTAAAAAAAAAAAAAAAAAAAGATGTGATGTCTCTACTTGGTGAGATATGAAAGATGAAGAGGAGATAGTCGGATATAGAGAAAAGGGTAGACACATAGCATGGCAAAACAACAAGGTTGAAGTATGAGGGCCTTAAGTTTGGTGTGACTGGAGCATAGAGTTGATGGAGGGGATGGTGAGATACACTGTCGGAAAGTGGGCAGGGGACTGATCTTGCTAGGCCTTGAAAGCCTCTAGGAAGTATGAACTTTACTTACGGAACAGGGCAATCTCCAAAGCTTTTGCAGCAGGGTAGTGGGTGATCAATTTTGCATAACTCACAATGATCACTTTGGCTGAATGATATGCCGGAATGTGGGATGCATTTGATGGGGATAAGACTAAAGACAGGGAAACAAGTATGAGGCTATTGTGGGAAACCAGAGATGCTGTGGCATGAACTAGAGCAGGGCTAAGTGGGAGTTGAATAGGGAATCTTTGTTATACCCAGGATTCTGCTTGGGTAGCAGGTAGAGCATGGTGAGAGTACCCAAGATAGGAACTGCAAAAGGTAACAGGTCTTAGGAGCATGATTACAGGCCCCTGGGGGGAATTCCTAACTTCTCTTCCCACCCTGGAAAACTTTCCCTTCTTTTTCTTTCCTGAAAGAGGAATGTTAATCTGATTGGTTATGTTTTCCTGTGCTTTATTTATTTTTGTTTGTTTGGGTTTTTTTTTTTTTTTTTTTTTTTGAGTTTGAGTTTGAGTCTCACTCTGTTGCCCAGACTAGAGTGCAGTGGCCGCTCCCGGCCACCGCAGCCTTGACCTGCTGGGCTCCAGCGATCCTTCCACCTCAGCCTTCCGAGTAGCCAGAATTACAGGCGCGCGCTACCACGCCAGGCTAATTTTTTTGATTTATTGTAGAGATGAGGTCTCGCCTGCCCATGCGGGTCTCGAACCCGCGGGCTCAGGCAATCCACTCACCTCAGCCTCCCAAAGGCGTGGGATTACAGGCTGAGCCACCGAGCCCGGCTTCCTGTGCTTTAAAAGGTCAAGTATACTAGTTGGGTTCTCTTTTCTTTCCCTTCTATCCAGCTATGCAGTTGAGGACAGTGACATCCTTTCAAGGTGGGCCTATCCACAGGGCTTGGCTCTTTTATTCTCACATCTTTTATCATTGGCCATGTATGAGGTAGAGAATGGCTGAGATCCTGAGTTTGGTTTGGGCTTTAGGGGGACAGGAGAGGTTATGCTTAGGTTGTGAGCCTAAGCCACATCCTCCAACTCACTTTACCAGAGTGCTCCACTACATTTAGCAGGTCAAATGATATGGGGTGATGCTCAAGACTTGAGCTGAGGGATAGACGTTAGTTTTGAACATATATTCATGCATTCCTTCAATAAGCATTTATTGTGCAGGGCATTGCTCCAGGCACTAGAGAGACAGTGGTGGACAAACAGACAATGTTTCTGCCTCCAGAAGCTTCTAGCAGTGGACTAGTGGCAAAACAGTCTATTAACCAAGTAGGCTGGTAATGAATGATATGACATTAGGTGCTGTGAAGCAAAAAGAAAACTGAGTGGGGTGGGGATGCTTTCTTTTTTTTTTGACTTGGAGTCTCACTCTGTTGCTCAGGCTGGAGTGCAGTCTCGGTCACCGCAGCCTCAACTTGCTGGGCTCAGGTGATCCTTCCTCCTCAGTCTTCCAAGTAGCTGGAACTACAGGCACGTACCAACAAGCCCGGCTTATTTCTGATTTACTGTAGAGATGAGGTCTCACCAAGTTGCCCAGGCTGATCTCGAACCCATGGACTCAGTCAATCCTCTCACCTCAGCCTCTCAAATTCTGGGATTATAGGCATGAGCCACTGCGCCCAGTCAAGGGATGCTTTCTGAGTTAAGATGGTTGGGAAAGGCTTCTTTGAGTTGGTGACTTGAGCTAAGATGTGAATGAGAAAAGAGGCAGCAAGTGAAGCTCTGAGGGAATAGCATTCCAAGCATAAAGAACATCAAGACAGAGGCCCCAAGATGGCAATGAGCTGATGGACAGAAACAGCCATTGTAGCTGGAGCATGGTGAACACATTGTGCTGAGATGGGTTGGAGGAGGTTGCTTAGGATCACAAATCTGAGCAAAACTTCTCCCCCTAAAGTCCAAACCAAATTTCAGGGTCTCTGCCATTCTTTTTTTTTTTTTTTTCTTCTTTGAGTCTCACTCTGTCACCCAGGCTGGAGGACAGTGGCATGCTCACAGCCACTGCAGCCTTGACTTGCTGGGTTCAGGGGATCCTTCTACCTCAGCCTTCCAAGTAGCTGGAACTACAGGCACGCGCCACCATGCCCAGTTAAGTTTTTGATTTATTGTAGAGATGAGGTCTCACCAAGTTACCCAGGCTGGGACAATTATTAATGTTGCTGCACATTTGCTTTCCCTCTACATTAATATATATTTCTTGCAAAACAATTTGAAAATAAGTTCCAGACATCATGATACTTTACCACTAAATACATGAGTCACATCTAAAAATAAGGGGAGATTATTCTACATAACCTCTAATGCATTATTGTACTTAGGAAAAGTAACAATTTCCTAACATCACCTAATATGTAATGAAATTTTCTTGTCTCCAATTTTTTCTTTTTTTTCAAATTTCCCTCCAAATCAGGATCAAACCAAGCTTCTCTCATCATATTTAAGAGTTTGGATTTTATTTTAGATGTGAAGGAAGTCACTAGAAGGCAGAAAGCAGAAAAAATGCCAACATCCCAAATTTCAAACATCACCCTGACTACCAAGAGAAGACTACTGCAAGGCAAATGTAGGGGCTGGAAACCCAATAGGAAAACTGAGGCAGCAGTCAAGAGATGAGAGTGCAGTGGCAAAGGTTTGCAAATGGAGCTACAGCCCAGAGATCAGATTTGAGGTATACTTGGGAGAAAGTGCTGACAAGGATGGGTGGGTGTGGGCAGTAAAGGGAGCAATCAAGGGTGATCCAAAGTGGGCCTGAACCATGTTCTGAGACACAAAAGAGACTGTCAATGTTTGGAACTTACCATGCTGTTGAAAATGTGCTTTACATACACAAGTCAGCAGTTCAGTGGAGAGTTCCTACTGGAGACATGGGTCTGAGAGTCATTAGCTTCTAGATTAAAGTTATGGAAGTGGGTAAGATCACCAAGGAAGAGAGAGCACAGCTAGAGAAAAGGCAGCCAGGGAGAGAACCTCGGAGCACTCCACATTTAGAGATCTTGCAGACGAAGGACCTGCCAAGGAGACTAGAAATACATGCTAGTAAGGCCAGAGAGTGACACCTCATCTAGCACAGGAAGTGGCTGCAGAGGGGAGCATTCAGTCATGCCAAAGCTGCTGAGAGGGGTGAGGAGAGAGATGGAGCACAAGTTCTGTATGATGGTGGCCTGAATAAGAACAATTTCAATAGAAAGAATAGCCAGCCACGGTGGCTCATGCCTATAATCACAGCACTTTGGGTGGCTGAGGTGAGAGTACTGCCTGAGCCTGAGGGTTTGAGACCAGTCTGGACAACTTGGCAAGACTTCACCTCTACAATAAATCAAAAATTAGCTGAGCATGGTGGTGCATGCCTGTAGTTCCAGCTACTTGGAAGGCTGAGGCAGAAAGATTGCTTGAGTCCAGCAGGTTGAGGCTATGGTGGCTGTGAGCATGCCACTGCACTCCAGCCTGGGTGACAGAATGAGACTCCGACTCAAAAAAAGAAAAAAGAAAAAGAACAGAGAAATGGGGCAGTAGATGGGAAGAGGACATGGGATCAGGAGAGGATTTTTGTTTTTGTTTTTCTTTTGAGTCAGAGTCTCACTCTGTCGCTCAGGCTGGAGTGCAGTGGCACAATCATGGCTTACTGCAGCCATGACCTCCTGTGCTCAGCCTCCTGTCTCAGCCTCCCAACTAGTTGGGACTACAAGTGCATGCCACCATGCGTTGCTAATCTTTTGATTTTTTTGTAGAAACAAGGTCTTACTATGTTGCCAAGGCTGCTCAGGCAATCCTCTTGCCTCGGCCTCCCAAAATGCTGGGATTACAGGTGTAAGCCACTGCACCCAGTAATGTTTAATTTTTTTTTTAAATGGTTGATATTGAAACATAACTGCATGCATTATGGCAATGAGACAGCAGAGTGGGAGGAACTGATGCAGGACAGAGGACCTAATAGCAAGAATGCAGTCCTGAAGAAAGAAAGAGAGCCCAGGAAGAGTTACCCTGTACAGCCTTTTACCATAATGGACAGAATGACAGAGTAGGTGGGTACAGGTTCAGGCCGGCTAGAGGGTTTGGTGGTGGAATGAGGTAGTTAGTTTTCAGCTGATTGCCTCTGTTTCCATGACCTATGAGGTAAAGTCACAAGGTAGGGAACGGAGGCTAGTTGAGTTGAGAAGATAGGAAATAATTATCCTTGAAAGTGGGAAAGTTAATGACTAACAGGAAAGTGTAGGAGGATCAAATGCCCATATTAAGATTTAGTCATATATTTAAAATAAGTTCAGTCAACAAAGTTAGGTGATTTCTCCACCAGTCAGTTGCATAGGCATAGACAAGGATTAAGCACGTAGCTGGGTTTAATCAGGCTTGGGTTGGGCCAGGTGAGTATAAGGCGATGCAACGAAGTGGAAATAGCACCCATCTTTGTAATTTAAGCTTGCAAGAAAGGAAATGAGGGCATGCGAGGGGAAAGGAACCAGTGGCCAAGCAAACATTAACAAATGGCTCCTTCCATTGCTTTACCATTAAGAAAAGTGTCCAAAAGAAAGTTAATATTTTCTCTTCTACATTTATTTTTAATAATATCATACTAGTGGAACTTATTTAAATCCTATTCTGTTAAGTTTTAACCAAATCTTGATAATTTCTTACAGTAATGTATTACTTTTCTTGCTATGTACCTGGAATTTAAAAAGGCAATTGATTTTTTTTTTTTTTGAGTCAGAGTCTCACTCTGTCATCCGGGCTGGAGTGCAGTGGCATGCTGGAGGCCACCACAGCCTGGACCTACTGGGCTCAGGTGATCTTTCCACCTCAGCTCAGGCTGGTCTCGAACCCATGGGCTCAGGCAATCTTCTCACCTTGGCCTCCCAAAGTGTGGAATTATAGGTGTGAGCCACCACGCTTGGCCTGACTTTATCCTTTTTTTTTTTTTAAAGTAAATATAACCGCAATACCATTATCATACCCAACGAAATAAATAATACCTCTAATACCTAGACCAAGCTTAATTTTCTCCAGTGGTCTCAAAAGTGTCTTTTTACAGTTGGTTATAACAAAGCCTTGGATGGTCAAATTTGTCTGAGAAAGTGTACATTCCAACAAATACTTATCAGCACCTACTATGTGCCAGATATTGTCAGGCAGTCCTGTAGTGACAAGAAATAGTGTATTACCCCACCTCTATGAAAATAGTAATTGGCTACCTCAGATCAGGTGCCTCAAGAGAAAATGATAAGGTAGAACTTTTGGAAAAGATCTAACTAGCAGATTTTCAGATATCCAAATGGTTGTGGAGACTTAATGTTAGCCAGAGCTCTGAACTCAGGTGAGAAACAATAACTCTCTTGCAACTACCTTCTGTTGCTCTATCTATCTATCTATCTATCTATCTATCTATCTATCTATCTATCTATCTATCTATCTATTTCAATAGATATTTGCCCAAAGAAGATATACTGATAGTCAAGAAGCACATAAAAAGATGCTGACCATCATTAGTCATCAGGGAAATACAAATCAAAGCCACAATGACATACCACCTTTGGTGCACTCTTCTAACACTGCAAAAAGAAATTGCAAATAAAAGTTCTTAGGCTAGGCATGGGGGCTCATGCCTGTAATCCCAATACTTTGAGAGACCAAGGTGAGAGAAGTGCCTGAGCCCATGATTTCAAGACCAGCCTGGGCAACATGAGAGATTTTGTATCTACAACAAATAAAAAAAAAATTTGCTGGGCATGGTGGCACATGCCTATGGTTCCAGCTACCTGGAAGGCTGAAGTGGAAGGATCGCCGGAGCCCAGCAGGTCAAGGCGGTGGTGGCTGGGAGCGTGCCACTGCACTCCAGCCTGAACAACAAAGTGGGACTCCAACTCAAAAAGAAAAAAAAAAGGAGAGAAGGGGATCTGAGGCCAAAGAGTCAAAATGAACAACAAAGGCACAAAGATGGACAAAAGTGCCAACTGTTTAGGGATGCAGTTTTGCATGAAAGGTTCCAGCCAGCAAAAAGCCTAAGGAATTTAAGCTGTGTAAATTCCTTTGTTTTGCTTTGTTCTTCAAGTATAGGGGAGCCACTAACACTATAGCCAGAAATATTCCCAAAGACACTCTAGATACCTGGACTCTGATTATTTTGTTTAAACCATTTTAAAAAACACTTGTGATAAATGATTTTGGCATTTATTCAGTGTAACGATCACAGCCTGCAGAAAAAAATCCCCAATGTGTTAGTATTACACGGTTAATCTCAACTAGAATATATAAGACTCCAATCCCATATTGAATCCCCATATATTCTAACTTCTAGCAGCCTCGGAGTAAAAGAGCTTACCGGTTTTGAAAGAAGCCAACAGCACAACAGTGACCGATAAATAAACGATCATACTAGATCAGGGTTGAGCTATAAAAATTCACCCACGGAGGTAGGTAAACCCCTAAAAGTCATTCTTTCTGACAGTTCAGTAAAGTATCACGAGATTATGGACACTATTACGATTTACAGAGCTGTTACTGTTTGGAGTTTTCCAGAAGCTGAGTCAATTCTGTCCTCAACTGCCTGAGGATTAACCGGCGTTCCTTGGGCTTTCTGGGCCTCCGTTTCCTGACTGACGCCCTAGGAAGAAGTATCGCAAAGTACATTCAAAAAACCCAAACCAACCCTTTTGGAACAGAGGTCTATGTGAGCACCCAGAAAAGTCACCCTCCAAATGAGGTGAAAACTATCGCTCCTCTTCCGTCTCGCAGTTGACTGGGACCGCCGTGAGCCGCATCTACCGCCCCAGGGGCGGGAACAGCTGCCTCGGCCCTGGGCTTCCCAGGCGCTCCCCACGCACTGCCGTCTCCCCGAATCCCCTATTCCCATCCCGCCCGCCCAGCGGCCTGCACCGCCAGCCCCGTACCCTCAGGTTAGCCCGGAGGCCCAGACTCTTGGCTAAGTTCTGCAGGTCACTGTACTTGAAAGAGTCCAGCTCCTCCAGGGAGGGGACGGTCATCGCGATTCGAGATCCAGCGGATTCGCACAGGAGCAGTCAGCAAAGCTCAGCACCGCAGTTCAAATCCTTGGCGCCACTCGACGCTTTGAGAAAGCAAGACTTTATACACAGTTTAAATAAAGAGCGCTGCACTTCCATTGGTTAAAAATGCCTCGAGGGTGGGGTCGCCGACCAATAGAAAGGCTGCTTTCCATCCCGTCGAACGCAACCCCACCCCTCACCAACACGCAGGCGCGGAAGGGCACGGGAGGCAGGTCCGCGTAACGAGTGCGCGGCAGCGCCCCCGGCCCTCGACGTCCAATGAGGACGCAGGAACTGTGTTTGGCCCGGGCCGCCGGTGAGCATTTGAAACAGCGGCGCCAGTTGCGAGAAGATGGCTGCTCCGTCGCGAAGATGTCCCCCGCGCCGTGCAAAGCTGCCCCGGGGTGACTTCTGTGCTGGCGCTAAGAGGGCGACTGAGGAGCCTTCTCTTACGACCTCGATGGAGTGGGACACGCAGGTGGTGAAAGGGTCCTCGCCGCTCGGCCCCGCGGGGCCGAGGACGGAGGAACCGGCCGCCGGCCTGCAGCTGCCGTCGTGGCTGCAGCCCGAGAGGTGCGCCGTGTTCCAGTGCGCGCAGTGCCACGCCGTGCTCGCCGACTCGGTGCACCTTGCCTGGGACCTGTCGCGGTCCCTCGGGGCCGTGGTCTTCTCCAGTGAGTGGGGTGCGGCTTTTGTGAAAGGCGGAGGCGAGTTGGAGAGGGTGTTCGCCCTGTCTCCACTGGTTGTCAAGAACCAGCTGAGGAAGAAAATCGAATGTAGAATTGAAAGGAAATTAACCCCCTGGCTTGGAGAACGATGGGGCTGGGAGCGGGGGAGTCTTTTTATTTTTATGGCTCGGATGAGTCTGCGTAGAGGGGAGGTTTTCCATTTCTTTTTTTCTTTTTGGGGGGGTTGGATTCTCACTCTGTCGCCCAACCTGGAGTGCAGTGAACTGCTGGGCTCCGGCGATCCTTCCGCCTCAGCCTTCCGAGTAGCTGGAACTGCAGGCGCGCGCTACCACGCCCAGCTAATTTTTTGACTTGTAGAGAGATGAGGTCTTGCCAAGTTGCCCGGGCAGGTCTCGAACCTGTGGCCTCAGGCAGTCCTCTCACCTCGACCTCCCAGAGTGCTGGGATTATAGGCATGAGCCACCATACCTGGCCTAGAGGTTTTCCATTCAAGGCCCACAGAGATACATATTTTGACCTATTTGTCTTCCTAGGAGTAACAAATAATGTGGTTTTGGAAGCGCCTTTCCTAGTTGGCATTGAAGGTTCGCTCAAAGGCAGGTACGTACTGATAATTCCCAATTGGTATCTAGTTTCTGACTTTATGAGATTGAGGAACGTGGAACCGACATATACGGGGAGAAAAGGTTGTTCCTATGTCGTACTACAAGAAAATGTTATTTCATTTGAAGGATGGAATGCTTCTTTTACCTGTCTGACTCGTGTGAACTTGATGTAATGGAAAAGTTATATTTGAGGGTAGGTTGTAAGTTCTTCCTGTAGGGCCACATCTCCCTAGTGGCATGTACAGTGAAGTGAGGCTAAGAAGGTTATGTCTAGTGGTGGAAAAAAGAGAAAGACTTTTTGGTTTATAATGATAATAACATACTATAACTACAATCCTTTGATATACTAGTTTTCATTATCAAGAAGTTTGGGCCGGGCTCGGTGGCTCAGCCTGTAATCTCGCGCCTTTGGGAGGCTGAGGTGAGTGGATTGCCTGAGCCCGCGGGTTCGAGACCCACCTGGGCAACTTGGCAAGACCTCATCTCTATAATAAATAAAAAATTAGCCAGATGTGGTAGCGCGCGCCTGTAGTTCCAGCTACTTGGAAGGCTGAAGCGGAAGGGTCGCTGGAGCCCAGCGGGTCGTGGCTGCGGTGGCCAGGAACGGGCACTGCACTCCAGCCTGGCTGACAGAGTGATACTCCAACTCAAAAAAAAAAAAACACAAAAAACAAAATAAGAAGTTTGTAATAACTATGTCAGGACTAATTCTTCTGTAACCATAGAAACTGGGGGAAAACACAAATTGAGTGTTCTTGAATACTGCCTGGTAAACTTTGCATCTTGTTTGTAGTATGATTTACAAGGGACAGTAAAGTACTCAGTGGATTTGGTATTACAGTTTGAATGTTGGCTTTAACAGCAAGACCCAGCCGGTCCAAAGTGCTGGGATTACAGACGTGGTGGCTCAAGTTTATAATCCCAGCACTTTGGGAAGCCAAGGTGAGAGGATTCCCTGAGTTCAGGGGTTCGAGACCAGCCTGGGCAACATAGTGAAACCTTGTCTTTACAAAAAATAGAAAAATAATCCAGGCGTGGTTGCTCATGCCTGTAGTTCCAGCTACTTGGAAGGATCACCTGAGCCCAGCAGGTTGAGGCTGCAGTGGATGTGAGCGTTCCACTGCATTCCAGCCTGGGCGACAGAGTGAGACTCTGACTCAAAAAACAACAAAAAACAGCTTGGCAAGGATGGTTAGGGACTTAGTACCTATTATAAGTTTCTTAACTAAAATAAGGAATCACATACCATGCAAATGAACAGAGGCCAAGTGTGGGAATTCTTTTTTTTTTGCATCAGAGTCTTACTCTGTTGCCCAGGCTGGTGTGCAGTGGCACGCTCATGGCCACTGCAGCCTCGACTTGCTGGGCTCAAGTGATACTTCCACCTTAGCTTCCCAAGTAACTGGAACTACAAGTGCGTGCTACCATACCCAGCTAATTTTTTGAATTATTGCAGAGACAAGGTCCTGCCATGTTGCCCAGGCTCGTCTCGAACCCCTGAGCTCAGGCAGTCCACTCACCTTGGCCTCGGCGAGTGGAGGGCTTGAGCCCATGGGTTTGAAATCACCCCAGGCAACTTGGCGAGACCTGGTCTCTATAATAAATCAAAAATTAGCCAGGCGTGGTAGCATGCGCCTGTAGTTCTGGCTACTTGGAAGGCTGAGATGGAAGAATCACCGGAGCCCAGCAGGTCAACGCTGGGGTGTCCATGAGTGTGCCACTGCCCTCCAGCCTGGGTGACAGAGTGATACTCCAACTAAAAAAACATATTTTTAAAAAAATTATAAACTATGACTCCATAACCACTGCTATATTATTATTTCACTCTCTGAATTTATTAAAATTTTCTTTTCCTTGTGTGCCAATAGTCAATGAAATAAACGCATATCTCATTTTATTGTGGATTCAAACACAAGAGAGAAGAATATCATGAACCCCCATGTAGCTGTCACTAAACTAGAAGAATCATCAACTCTGCTGATTCGTGATCAGTGATCTTTGATGTTACTATTGTAATTATTTTGGGATGCCACACATTGCATCTAAAGAGGATGGCAAACTTGGCCAGGCTCACACCTGTAATCCTAGCACTTTAGAAGGCCAAGGCAGGGGATTACTTGAGCCCAGGAGTTCGAGACCAGCATGGGCAACATAGTGAACTTTGTCTCTACAGAAAAGTTAAAAAATTAGCTGGGCCTGGTGGCTTGTGCCTGTAGTCTCAGCGGAAGGCTCTCCTGAGCCCAGGAGGGAAAGGCTGTGAGGCTGTGGTGGGCCATGATTGTGCCACTCCTGCCTGGGCAACAGAGTGAGACGCAGTCTCAAAAAAAAGAATATGGCAAACTTAATTGATAAATGTGTGTGTTCAGACTGCTTTGCTTTATTGCACGTCTCAGATACTGCTTTTTTTTTTTTTTTTTAAATAAATTGAGCTGGGCTCGGTGGCTCAGCCTGTAATCCCGCGCCTTTGGGAGGCTGAGGTGAGTGGATTGCCTGAGCCCGCGGGTTCGAGACCCGCCTGGGCAGCGAGACCTCGTCTCTACAATAAATCAAAAAATCAGCCGGGCGTGGTAGCGGATGCCTGTAATTCCGGCTACTTGGAAGGCTGAGGCGGAAGGATCGCTGGAGCCCAGCAGGTCGAGGCTGCGGTGGCCGGGAGCAGCCACTGCACTCCAGTCTGGGTGATAGAGTGAGACTCCAACTCAAGAAATAAATAGAGCCGGGCTCGGTGGCTCAGCCTGTAATCCCACGCCTTAGGGAGGCTGAGGTGAGTGGATTGCCTGAGCCCGTGGGTTCGAGACCCGCCTGGGCAGCGAGACCTCATCTCTACAATAAATCAAAAAATCAGCCAGGCATGGTAGCACATGCCTGTAATTCCAGCTATTTGGAAGGCTGAGGCGGAAGGATCGCTGGAGCCCAGCGGGTCGAGGCTGCGGTGGCTGGGAGTGGCCACTGCACTCCAGTCTGGGCGACAGAGTGAGACTCCAACTCAAAAAAAAATAAAAATATAAATAAATAAATAAATAAATAAATTGAAGGTTTGTGACAACCCTGTGCTGAGTAAATCTGTTGGTGCCGTTTTTCAATAGCATGTGCCCACTTCGTGTCTCTGTGTCACATTTTGGTAATCCTTGCAATTTAACAAACTTTTTCATCATCATTCAATCTGTTACTATTGTAATTGTTTTGAGGTGCCACAAACCGCAGTTTTGGAAGGTGACAAACTTAATCGATTCATGTTGTATGTGTTCTGACTGCTCTACTGACCAGCTGTTCCTTGTCTCTATCCTCCCCCTTCAGGCCTATTCCCTGAGACACAGAATTTGAAATTATTCCAGTTAAGAACCCTAGAGGCCGAATCCAGTGGCTCATGCCTGTAATCAGAGCACTTTGGGAGGTGGAGGCGAGAGGATTGCCAGAGCTCGGGGTCTGAGACCAGCCTGGGTAACTTGGTGAGACCTCGTCTCTACAATAAATCAAAAAATTAGCCAGGCATGGTGGCATATGTCTGTGGTTCCAGCCACTTGGAAGGCTGAAGCGGAAGAATCTCCTGAGCTCAGCAGGTTGAGGCTGTGGTGTCTATGAGTGTGCCACTGACCTCCAGCCTGGACAACAGAGTGAGACTCTGTTTCTGTTTTCAAAAAACAGAAAAATAAAAAGAACTCCACAGTGGCCTCTAAGTGTTCAAGTGAAAGGAAGAGTGGCAAGTCACTTTAAATCCAGAGCTTGAAATGATCAAGTTTAGTGAGGAAGGCACATAGCCAAGCCAAGTTGTGAATGTAAGGAAAAAGTTATTGAATGAAAATAAAAGTGCTACTCCAGAGATATGCTGATATGGAGAAAGTTTTAGTGGTCTGGATAGAGCAAACCAGCCACAATATTCTCTTAGTACAAAGCCTAATCCAGACCAAGGCCCTAACTCTTTAATTCTGTGAAGGCTGACAGAGGTAAGGAAGCTATAGAGAAAGACTCTGAAGGTAGTAGAGGTTTATTCGTGAAGTTTAAGGAAAAACGCTGTTTCTGTGACATAAAAGTGCAAGCTGAAGCAGCAAGTGCTAAGGGAGAAGCTGCAGCAAGTTATCTAGACCTAGTTAAGATCTAGATCACTAAACTGATTTTCAGTGCAAATGAAACAGGCTTCTATTGAAAGAAGATGCCATCTCGGACTTTTAAAGCCAGAAAGAAGTCAATCACTGGCTTCAAAGCTTCAAAAGACAGGATGATTCTTCTTATTGGGCTGATGCAACTGGTGAAGCCAGTGCTTATTTACCATTCCGAATATCCCAGGGCCCATAAGATTTATGCTAATTCTACTCTGCCTCTGCTCTATAAGTGGAATAACAAAGCCTGAATGACAGCATATCTCTTTACAACATAGTTTACTAAATATCTTAAGCTTGCTGTTGAGACCTAGTGCTCAGAAAAAAGATTCCTTTCAAAATGTTATAGTTCTTTTATAATGCACCTAGACATTCAAGGGCTCTGATGGAGATGTACCACAGCTCTCCGCGGCCTCAACCTCCTGGGCTCAGGCAGTCCTGCCTCAGCCTCCCAAGTAGCTGGGACTATATGTACCATCTCTCCCAGCTATTTTTTTTTTTTTAAGAGATGAAGTCTTGCTATATAACCCACACTGGTCTTGAACTCCTTGGCTCAAGTAGTCCTCCTGCCTCAGCCTCCCAAAGTGCTAGGATTACAGACATGAGCCATATTGCCCAGCCTTGTATTTGTTTTATATTGCATGCATAAGCATAATGTTGGGGTTTTTTTACATATTACTCTGTGCCATATATTAGTTTCTATTGAGGCATTTGTTTGTAAGTATTATGCTTTTTCTGAACAAATTAATTCCTATGTGAAATTCAAATTAATGGAACTTAATTTTATTAATATTTTTTGAGTTGGAGTTTTACTCTGTTGCCCAGGCTGGAGTACAGTGGCACAATCACCACTACTGCAACTTCAAACTGCTGGGCTTGGGCACAACTTTATTTTATA